AGGCATGCTAAAATGCTTTAATACATATTTAATGTGACCTTCAAATAAGAAAAAAAAAAATAGTAAAAATGGATTTTGATTGCCTGCCTGACGCAGGGTGACTTTGAATCCATTCTTCCATACTTTTTCCTCAATGTTTTCAAAGTTAAATGACAAAAATAGTGTAAAAGAGTGCAATTTAATTGACACTATAGCACAATCAGATCATCATGCTTTTCATTTATCATTTAAATGCACTAATGTTTAACCACATACTATTGTTGTATAGATGTATGTCTCACCTATTCTGCATGTATTTCTGCGTGTATTTGTGTTCATGTGATGTAGAGATCAAAACAACTGCTTCTGTGTTGGAAGAAAAGCCAAATCTCCCAGCCTGTACTGTAGCGCCAGAGTCTGTTTTATCAGCCATTTTATTAGGTCATTCTGAGAGTCTGATAACCTGCACAATGCCATCAAATTGACATATCCGAGCCGCGTAATCGCATTTATTGTGTATAACTGGCATCGATATGATTTGTTGGCGTAAGCGGCATGTAGGTAATGTGATTGAGGAGCAGCCCGAGGACGACATCGAGCGACAGGTCACCCCGTGCGTGCAGTATTTCACTGACATGATTACAGTCTTCAGACTAACCTTGAGCATGCTGGCTGTACGTGGGCTGGAAATGAGAAATGATTGGGTTATGCTGTGGTGCCTTTGATCCATCTGTCACTTTTGACCCTCAATGTCAGTCTCCTCTCTCTCATCTGCCCACTGCACACAGCTGGATCTGCTCTGCTCTCGCCATCTGCCTCTTTATAAGACACGTACTGGTCAGCTGGCTGTTTTGGTGTATATACTGTATATTTAGAAGGATATTTTGGAATCAGAAGAAATGAATAAGTCAGATTTGACTGCTCATTGATTTAGTTACTGGATAACACATGTATTTTGGTGGTGGCATTGTTGAAGATGTGTTTATTATACATATATACACACACACATATACATAAAAATGCATGTCAAAAGCCAACCGTAACTGTATACATACACTTTATAGTTGAGCATAACTTTAAACACAACTGACAATTTAAAAAGAATTACAACTGTGATGCATCTAAATTTTATGAAAAACCCTTAAAAATAATATGGGCTCTTTTTTCAATAATGCATAAAAAATAACAGAACAGTTAAATTTTAAACTAAGAACTTAATTGTTTTAACAACTAAACATCATGTACGGCTAGTATTTTATTGTTTCTTACACCCGATTCACACAGGGCTTCAGCATCAAAGCTTGATAGACGGAGTGTCTGAAGTTAGGGCTGATGCGATCGTCATGGCAGCGTCAGCCAATAAAATTAGTCCGCAATCAACTACTATATGAGCTGGGGTAATTGCATGAAAGTGATCTGATTGGCTGACGCTTCAGTTGGTACTAGAAAAGTTGAGAAATTCCCAACTTCTGCAGCGAACAACACTGCTGAAGCAGCGCTGACGGATCCACAATTCAGTTTGGCAACGATTTACCTCACCCATTCAAGTGAATGGGAAGTGCTGATGCTGACACCCCTATGTGAATGGGGCGTTATACTGTGGCAAGTCTGTATGTAAATGGTCCAGGCTCTCTTATTACATTTTAAATAGCTGACAAAGTTTCTTTTAGCCTCATAATTTGATGTTGCCACCATATTGCCATCTTTTGTTGTAGTGGTTGTTACCAGGTTGCCAAAAAAAATGTGCTTACAACATCCAATCAGATAAGAGGAACCAAAAAGCAACATGGTGTTTACGACATCACAGAGAAGGTCGCATTTAAAGGCTTAAAAGCATGATCCTGTCTCTCACAATGGCCATCAGGCTTTCCTTATTGTTGAGCCCTTATATATATATATATATATATATATATATATATATATATATATATATATATATATATATATATATATATATATATATATATGATATTGTAAAAATCTGACATCGTTTTGTTTTTCTGCGATATATATATATATATATATATTGCGATATGAATATGTTTTACCAGATGGCTTAAATTGCTCTATTTTGGAAGAAATCATTCATTTAGATTGATAGGGCTGATTTTGTAATAGGTGAGAATCATGTATAAAAAATTATAAACATATTGAAAGCAAAAATAATTACAGTAGAGCAACAAAAGTCAAATAAAACGGTTTTCTGGAGAGTCAAATAACATTTATGAGCAGAAAATAAATAAATAAATAAATGATAAATGTCAAATCTAAATAAATTAATACTGTAATCTTTATTTTATTCATTCTGTGAATTTAATAACTCCACTAATCTATATTCTCAATTGTTGTGCTGATAGAATATGATCCCAACTCAACATTGCATATCCTGCAGTGTGACTATTGCAGACAAACACATTGCAATATCGATGTTTTTTAGTTAGTTATGCCTATTGTGGTTGTTGTAAGACTACTTTAAAAATAACCATTTCGAAATAGCAAAGGTGTCTCTGTTACAGTGTCCTTTTTTAACTAATTCAATTAAATCTATACTGTGCAGTATAAGAAAATAAATAAAAAGTTTTAAATTTTGAAAGATGTTTTTAGCAGTGAAAAAAATTTATTTGGAGTCACAGAACATGTGCATTAAAACTGAAATATCCCTACTCCCAGAGTGCAACATGAAATTTCGTTTTGATGAACAAAAAGCCATCACTATGTGCCATTGAAATAATTTATTTTAAAGACTAAACAGCTCTTCAGGGATTGGTTGTTACACTTTAGCTTGTCGTGGTGAAATTAGCAATATGTGATGGCATTACACTCTTCATGGCTTCAGTTCATCTGCCAGGATGGAGGAAAAGCAAACTCACGACATGTTCTGTGTGGGACTCCATCACGGCTATAAATATTCAATGTGGGTGCTTGCATTGTGCCAGTACAGCTGTATAACTATTCCTTTTTTTTGGTTAGTATCTAATGCTTACTACTAACCATCATAGGCAGTCACGATCTCTTACTTTGACCAGCCGGCTGAGGGGACGGCCTCCACCCGGGTGATCTGATTAATCATATCGGCACAGGTCCTGATAAAGATCCTGGTGGCCAACCAAGGAGATGTGGCATCTTGTCCAGATGGAGCGGTGGCTGTTTTTGTGTTTGTCAGTATGAAGTCTTGGCTGGAGCGGTGTCTGACTCAAGGCAGATGGGAGGCACAGCGGCTCCGTTGATGGATACTGAGCTCCAGTGGCAAGATCCATCCATTATTGAACTGCTCTGTCAGCTTATGTAGAGAAGCAAGACACTCACAAACACTTGATCGTGCACTAGAGTTTTTAAGGGAACCGTTTAGCAACAAATGAAAACCTGGTCTTCTTTTGGTTGCTTTAAAATTGCATGACTGAAATTTTCTAAAAAACTTGCACTGATCTCTCTTTTTGTTTACAAAGATTTTCAGGTAGAAGTAGAAAGGTAAAACTCATTTTTAGGTTTTCTTAACCCTTTAACTGCCTCCTCTAACAAATTATGGATCATATTTTGACTGTTTTAATTAATGACTGTTCAAGTCATCTAAAGAATGAATATTACACTACACAGATTTTGGTTATATTATTAAAAAAAAGTCAAGCATGATGAGAATCACAAATATTTTCTGACATCCCAAAAAAAAGGTGATTTGGTATTCAAAATTTTTTTATTTATTTTTTTTTTTTTTAATAAATTGGTTTTATCCCTCATATTTTAAGAATTTTCATCGTATATGTATAAATTCCAGTTCTTTTACCACAAACTGACATATCTACCATTTGTTAGAGGTTAATATTTTAGAAATGATGGGATGTGTTGAGAAAAAATGCATTGAGTGTGTTAACTAGTGACATTAGGAGATAAGAAATACAATTTAAAAATAAATCTTGGTGGGGCAGTTAAAGGCTTTCTTTTTTGTGGGACATATTTATGTCTAGAAGTAAAACCACTGATAGTAAAAAGCTAAATCAGCAAAGAATCTGTTTTGGAATAAAATGATGAACCATTTGTTTATGGCTCCTGATCTGTTCAGGAATTGTGGTTGAGTTTCAAGTCAACTTATCTGGTCATAGCTTTGATGTAAAGGGACACTTGTGGAAAGTAGAAGTCTGATCAGTTGATCTGTTTTACAAATTCATGTATTGGTATTGGTCCAATGAACCATAGTTTTCACAGTGTCATTTGAGTGAGAATTAGTTTCAATCATGTGTTCATCAATCAGTCCCTCCAAGATTTTGCAGGGACATTCTCTAAATATATCTGTGGCCTAAAGTGACTGATTTTGTGACTGCTTTTCTCAAACCGTATGGTGTTATTTTCTTCATTTTTTGTGTGAATTTTGCTTTAAAAATACGCACAAACCTTTTTTTTTTCCTTTTTTTTTGGTCCAATTGACTCTTAAAATTCTGGAGGAACTGATAAATTTGGCGATTAAATATTATATTGAGCTGAATCTTTTCAGTAAACCATCTTATCCGGTTCATTAAATCGATTGTATCAAGTACAAGTAACCATTAAGAATCAAAACAAATTTCTGAATGAATTGTTGATTTAATTTGTTGAATTTTTCTAGTGAGTCCACAGATCTGCTTCACAGCATCCATGTGAATCATTTATTCATAAATTGGTCCAGTTTACAAATGAATCACTCTTCTATGTTAAATCTTTTCAATGAAAAAAAAAACTGGCTCACAAAATCATGGATTGGAATTTGTTCATGAAATTGGGCCATTTCATTAATGAATCGTTCTTTTGAGTCTAAACTGTTATGATACTGTAGATATGATAGATTCTGATCTTTTATGATGCATTTGATTCATTCCTGAAGCTTGGACCAATATGAGAGCAAGTAGATTATTACATAGGCTTTTCATTATTTGGATCTCTTCAAAGTCTAGCACTCAAATAACACTTCATGTGCTCTTCAAGTCTACGTGTATTTAAATCATCCCATGAAAACAATTCTAACATGCACTTCTCTTTGTGTCTATCTTCAGCGGAGCCTCTCCCTCTGATGGACCTGTGTCGACGTGCGGCGCGACTGGCTCTGGGACGAGAGCGTCTACAGGAGATCGAGACATTACCTTTGCCCCAGTCTCTCAAGAATTACCTCCAGTACCAGTGAGAGCGCAGACTCTCATGTAGAGACGCAGAGACAAAGAGAGGAAACCTGAGGTGCTACTATAGCGCCACCGTCAGGCCGCAGAGGGAAAATGTTTACATTGTGGCTCACTGGTGGAATCTTAAGTTCGTTTTTTCCTTAGTTTGTTTTTTGTTTTCCTCTTTATGAGTTGTTTAAATTATTGATGGCTTTGAAAGAAGCTGGAAAGATGCAGAGCAAAAGCGGCGGCTGCTCAGCAGACCTGCAGCGCCTCCCGGTGTATGTCTCGCCCCTGGAGAATACGACAGGATAGTGGCATTTCAGAAAGCACATTAACCTTGGGATGCCTTTGAAAGCCCACAGTAGTAATCTTTTCGAAAGACCGTGGCGGTCTCTAGAGTTAAAAACCATCACATGGGATCCTCAGCGAATGAAACAAAGCCCTTGAGGGTGCTAGGATTTTCACACAGGACCACCTAGAGAAGGTAACATGACTGACAGGAGCCATTTTCCCCTTTTATCTGGGATGGAGTCTATAACCAAGGACACACACATACGCACGCACGCATACGACCAACAATAAATCACCGAATTCACTTCTTTTTTTTTTTCTTTGTGAGCTTGAGTCACTTTTCTATCTGAGTTTATTGTCAGCGTGAGATTGATTGATGATGATGACAATGTTTGGCTATCTTTTTAATTTTATTTATCAGGTTCTAGATCCTTTTTAATGAACTGAGGATGTGCAAACGAGCACATAGATATTGAACACTATCCTACACTCGTCACATATGGCTTTCGATTTTAAACTGGGATGCTGCTTTTATTATTATTATTAATAATATTATTATTATGATTATTATTCTGTCTGAATGCTCAGATGGAAGTCTGGTTTTTCCAAGGCACACAGTGGAATGTAAAGATCTTGCTAGCGTTAGCATATTTGAAATGTGAATAAAAGCCAAGTGAATGAGAAAGCAAGAATGACAGTTTTTTTTTTTTCCTCTCTCTCTGAGGCAGAATATGTGTGTTTTGACATTGAATGAAAATATGTGCATTCTTAAGCACAGAAGGGTCTATTTACATAACACCGCTGCTTTTTCTCGGCTAACGTTCCACTGAGAGATCCCTCATTTCCCACTTTTCGCTCTCTCTCCTGTCTGACTCCCACTCTAATACAGTCTGAGGCTGAAAAGTATTATCTAACCTAAATCTGCAAAGAATTGGATCACTCTGCTCACGCTTGGGTTCGTGGGTGGTGTTTTAACCACTAACCGCAGGTGCTTTCTTCAGAAATCCAGATCTCTTGTTGTTAATCTCTCGTCACAAGTATTTAATTAAATTGACTGATATGCTGAATTCTTATACAGTACTTTGCATTTAACAGTAATTGGGTTTTTATTATTATTATTTAATTTTTATTATGTAGGACTAGGGTTGGGTATCGTTTAGGGTTTTTTTTTTTTTTTTTGGTACCGATGCTAGATCAATACTTTTAAAACGGTGCCAAAATAGTGTCTGAACCAATACTTTTCAGTTCGTCATGGGGCATGAATGAAATGTTCCTGAACGAAAGTGAAACTGCCGAGCTGCAGTTAAAGTTGACAAATTAAAGATGAAACCCCTAAAATTACATGAATCTCCATAGGAAACTTTGTATATCGTGGTGACACAATGACGTTAATCGATCTATGTACTATAACATGCAAAACAATATCATGAAGGGAATATTCAAAAACTCCTTAATCTAAAAACACTTCAATCACATTATTGTCTTATTCAGATTAAGGCAAATAATTTGATTACTCATGTCCATGTAAACATGGTCACTGACAGCGCCAGGTGATGTTGCAAGCTGTCAAAGACAGTGCATTCCTCTGCCTTTAGGTTGATTCCATGTGTCCTCAAATGTTTCTAAAATTTGACCCTTCTCACCGCCTTCCCTTATACACAACTTTTGTAAAAGCATCTGCTGCATATTGCTGTGTCATAATCATTGCTTGTAAAATATTGCCATACTTTAGAACGCTTAGTTTAAGCAAATTTGATAAATGGGTTCATGCATGTTGACGAATCTGTCAATGAGTCGATCACTGGATCATTTACTGCACACGTTGTGTATACATTGCCTTTATGCACGCGTTCTATACATTAAGAAACAAACAAATGCCTAAAGCCTGGTTTATACTCAACGCATTCGCTAGATTTTTTATTTTTTATTTTATTTATTTAAGAACGACACACAAAACAATGCCAGAGGTATGCAAAAAGAATAATAAAATCTTAATAAAATTATATAGAAGTACAAAAACTCAATAAGTAAAAAAAAATAAAATAACAAAGTAAACAAAAAAAATATTACAAAACAAAACTAGGCCTTGCTAACTCTCAATAACTTAAAAGTGTCAAACAAATACACGGTTTTAACAGTTTTTTTGTTTGTACTCTCCTTAATGGTATTTATATAAATATCTAGATCTTTAACTACCACCAAAAACGAATGTGACGTCATCGTGTTGTTTGCGGAGGTTCACTTTGGGTGCGCTCAACATGATTTTGGCTGGCGGAGCGCACAATTGTTTTGAGACTCGAGCGAACAGTTTGCTCGGTGCTACATTTCATTTGAGTTAAATATGAATCACTTTAAAGAGATTTTGTCTGAAATGGGTACGACTGTGCAGACATTTTTATGATCCATTCATGCGTGATCATAGAGACAACCAGTTGGACAACATATATTTGTAGAGCAACCCATGTACTCTTGTCATTAACATTTATTATACTTTAATAGGTAAAACTGTCAGAGATATGAACAAAAGCAAGTGATGCATCAACCTTTGATTTAAAACAATTCTTGAATGGTTATAAAAATCCTTATACTCATCAAAATAATTTATAAAATAATAAAAATAATTATTAAAAAAACCTCAATAATATTAATGATATGACGTATTTCTGGAAACTTCCTATTTCTCTTGTTTATTCGCTGATTTTATGCTGTTTTTTTTACTGCCCCTATCATTTTAAAGAATATGTCCATGGTGAAAGCATCAAGTATAAAAGCCTCTTCTACTTCATGAGGTGCGTGCACAGTCAGCGGAAGTCTGCCACGTGGTGCCAGACAAACATATTTACCTTATTCTTTAATGCGAAAGTGCACTCGTTTTTGCGATTGCTTTAGAGCACAGGTGTCAAACTCAGTTCCAAAAGGGCCGCAGCTCTGCACAGTTTAGTTCCAACCCTAATTAAACACACCTGATCAAACTAATTGAGTCCTTCAGGCTTGTTTGAAACCTACAGGTAAGTGTGTTGGAGCAGGGTTGGAACTAAACTGTGCAGGGCTTCGGCCCTCCAGGAATTGAGAAAGAATAAAGGTGTATAAAGGATAAGAATAAGGTGAATAAAATCCGCCTTAACATTGAGGATGGTGTCCATACTTCTCAAAGTTGTTTCAGATTAAATATTTATGGTGTGACAACTCATACTTATGTATGCATTTGATGTACTCCTTGCTGCTTCTTACGCTTTTGTCGCAGCACCAGTGGCACCCAAAATTGGCAACCAAAATCCATATGCAGATTCAGTCTGGTGCATACCGGTTGCATAGCACAGGGTTTCGGTTCCCAACCCTATGTAGGACAGGTAAAATTATATGCTAGCAAAAAGTGGCTATAGAGTTAAGTTTTCGATCTGGTCTAATATAATATTGTCATTTTAAATTTTAAAATTTTAAGTCCTTATTTTGTAATATAAATTTTTTTTAAATATATGTACAACTAGTGCACACAATTATTCAAACGTACTGTATGTCACTGGCATTTTTAAGAAAGTAATCTTTTTGTAATACTATATATTATATATTATTAAAATTGACAGTAACAGTTTTCATAATGTATATAATATTCTATAAAAAAAAAAAAAAGCAAAATATTTATCAGGATTTTCACAAAAATAAACTGTTTTTAAGCATTGATAATATGGAATGAGCACCAATTCGGTATAGGAGCATTCACAGCAACGAACGTGTGACACTAAAGACCGCTGTAATGGATGCTAAAGCTATATATATATTAAATGTTTAGTCCTACAAAATACCTCCATAATCCAGCTCAGATCAAATCATATATATGCATATGTTGCAGTAAAAGCTCTATACTGATCCTCTATTTAGGTCAGCGAATGATAAATGGTATTTTTTTTTTTTTTTTTTAGATAATGGAAAATGCTTTTACAGATTTTTGCTTTTAATAATGTGATAGGCCAGTTTAGAGTAATCTCATCCTGTTTTACTGCATCTAGACATGTTAGAACTCTCGTATTGGAAATCAATGTCAGATGGCGAGATACTGTCCTTCTGCGACGGCATGAAAATTGACTTTTTTTGGCTTCTCTCTTTCACATTTGGAATCAGCTCTTTGTAATTGAATAACACTGATCTGAGAGCGCAGGTACAGAGATGGAGCCCTGATCAAAGCTGCGGTTTAAGCCAGGACATTGATCCTCCCAATCCTCTGTTTCCTCCCAGTCCTGTCTTAAATCACTAACAAACATCTTTAACCAAAGGAGGAACAGCCTGTTCTGTGTGTTTCCAGCCTTGAGGGAATGGCCGAAGTTGTCTACGTTTGTGTGCAAATCCTTTCGAAGCTTGGGAATCACTGCTTGTTTATGTATTATGTCCTTCATCATTAACAGGCGATTGTTGAGCTCTTGGAAATGAGTATTGTACTGACTTCCTCCCAGTGTGATTCTCCATATGCTGTGTAGACATGAGCCACTGGCTATTTCCTTAACTTACCAGGGTGTAAATAGGAGGCCGAGAGCTGATCCACCACTGGGAGACCTTGAGAGATGTGTGTTACCAAAAAAAAGTGAGACTTCCTTGATGTACTTCCTTCCCTGTGGGTCTGTGGCTGTTGTGTATGTGTGTGTGCGCGAGAGAATGAGGGTATAAATAGGGAGCCGGTGGCAGTGATGGTCTGGGGAAAAGATCTTCGTGTCCTAAATGACCTCAGCTTCCACACGCAGGTGCATCCTGGCCTGAGCTGGTCACAACATCACTGGTGGTAGAAGAAAACAGTGCTGGCAAATGTACTTTGCTGAGAAAACACTGGAGACAGCACCTTTTGTTGTGGTGTTCTCGTTGCAGATTTCCTATTCATGTGCCATGGCTATTAAAAGAGGAAGTCCAGGGGTACAGATTGTTTCTTTGAGATGCAGCCCTGGTGGAATAATTAAATGCAGTCCTTTATAATCGGCAAGAAATGTGAAGGTTTTTCATTCAAAGGTTTGTTCAGCCAGAAAATGAAAATGATGTATTTAATTACCCTCATGTTGTTTCAATTTCTTGAAGCCTTTGTTCATCTTTGGGATACAAATTAAGATATTTCAGGTGAATTCTGATTCCCTTGTCCTCCATAGGTCAGTTTCTGACATGGTCAAAGTCCACAAACAGGGCCAGACCAACGTAAGTGCTAGATGAGGCTCAAGCCTCAGGGCCCATGGAAGAAGGCGGCCCTTGATTGGCTGAAGAACTAATTTGCTATGACGCGGGAAACGTCTCTTTGCTTTCTCTCGTTGATAATGTGAAGTATTCCTTTCGATTCGCTGCTGTTCAAAAACAGTGACGCCAGTGCTAAACTGGGGCTCAGAGGGGCTGTAGCCCAATCAGAATATTGAATAGCCCTGTTTTAGTCACCCGTAAGGGTCATCAGACGTCCCAATTTTCCCAGAACAGTCCCAGTAAGTCTAACTTAACCAGTTGGAAACCAAACTTTAGGAATGTTTTCTTTGCCCCTTTTGTGAAAACGACAGTATGGAGCAATGACATATTGGTGCTGACTTTCATTAGACAATATATCTGATGCAATAAATAAATAAAATAAGAATGCCAGCCTTCTGTAAGTTATTTTGGATATTTGAAGCATGGATATTAAAGATAGTATATCATTAGGGATTTATGGTCAGCTGTGGTTCTAAATA